GATATATATATATATGTATATATGTGTGTATATATATATTCCTTGACCTCTCAACCCATAGTATAGAGCCAAAACTCTGTAAACTATTTATATTTTTATATTATTCTTTTTCTATATTGAATATTTTTGGTGTTTTTTCTTAAATTATTAATATTGCTAATGTATTTTCTTTTGTAATGTAATTTTATTTTTAATAATGTAGGCACTAATTCTTAATGTGTAAATATTTCATTTATCTATTAAATTGTACAGTAATTTTTTTTGTTTTTGTTTTCTAATAACTTTGATCTCAATTCTGCTCTCTTGCTGTAAACTGTAATTTTATGTACATATATTTTTCGATATGCCTGAGTATATAACTATTACTAATCGTAGTTAAGAATGGCGAGTCTATTGGTTTGTGTTGTGTTTGTACTGAAGATGAATTGAAGAGTAACACCCAATACATGTTTACCATTTAATCCTTAGCTCTTTTCTTAAAATGTGCTTTTATCAATTTACCGTTTGGGTCCATTATCAAGAACTTTACTTCAAAAGATCTGCCTATTTGTTTACTCAGGATGTATGAGAAGGTAATAATAATACGTAATAATAATAAATAATAATAATAATTTTGGCTTATATAGCGCATTATGCTAAAGCCTCAATGCGCTTAACAATAAAAATAAAAATGCTAAGAGAAATTTAAGAAAAGTAGCCTACATGTTAAAAAGGTGAGTTTTTAAATCTGCCTTAAAATCAACAATGTAGGTTGCCTGTCGGATTGTAATAGGCAAAGCATTCCAAAGGAAGACAGAATTCCAAGAAAAAGAATGATTGCCATAATGCAATCCTTACATTTCATCAAAGCTGAACTGGATTATAATTTCTTACATAATAACTATTAGTACAGTATTATGAGAGATATTGAGCTTATTTTGCCAGCCCTTTTCCAATCCCTTTTTTATTTTTGATATTGCAACTTGTTCTTATTGTAAAGTTTCCTCATTAATGTCATGTTTCGGTATGCTGTTAACCAATATTCTGTTTCAATATGTTTTTTTAGAAGACATTCATCATCTCAAAAGTACAACTGAAGACTTAACACAGGTCATTTACTACTGTTTTTAGACCCACTCTTTGTAATCTCAGAGGTAGCCACCATAATATGTTAACCATCAAAACATTAATGATGCAAGTAATTATATGTCTAGTTACCAGATTACACTGTGCTATTTTACACACATGTTTATCTATTAGAATTTGTAATACACATGTTTCTGTTTTATATAATTATTAATGCGTTTCGTTTCAGTATTGTAAATTGTTTTGGCCATTATGAAATAAATGTTACTGTTACCGAAATCAAAACATATTTGATTTTACAGTACTAATCTACTAAGACTTCAAAGCAAATTTTTGAGTGAGAAATAATTATTATTGGAAACCTGGGGCTTACAGCCCACCCATCCAGCTGTTTTTGGTCAAAAATGAGTACAGGATGTTAATAAACTTGAAGATGCCTATTTAAGCGAAATTAATGTCCGAATATAATTTTATATCCACTTGGAAGGTCCACAGTTTTTGTTATTAGTACGTCGCTATGTAATCCAGCTAGATTTTTGTGCCAAAATGAATTTTATTGGCTAAAACATTGTCATTTTTGGTGTGCTGAATTCAAAAAAGTTCGGTGCCATTTTTTTTTATCCACATCATTTTGAATTTAAAGATGGCTGACACTCCACATAAAACATGGTTGGTTTCAATGGAAAGGAAATTATACACTGATCATTTAATTCAGTTACACCTATAACCTAATAATACATATTTACAGAGCTATAGACCAATAAAGTCACATGATCCAGAAGGTCGAAAATCACCAAAGTCTATCGTGTTTCGAATCTTTGGAAAGCTCTTTCGATGCTGGATAATGTTTAACAATACCCCCCCCCCCCCCCCTGGGGTGCTGCCCCCCGTGGGGTGCTGGGAAATCCTGGCGCCATCCCTGGGTCGAAGTCCCCTGGAAAGCCCTGAAAGTTTTCAGGGATGTTCTGAGGCGATGTGAAAATTGCAATAAAAGCATCGTAAATAATATAGTAAGCTTAACAATAGTTAAAATTCAATAGTGGTGGATCCAGGAATTCAGAGAGGTGATCTGACGCAGAGGGAGGACTTTACAAATTGAGGAACCACCCACCTCAGGTAAGAAAATTTATGATTAGGGCACCTCTATATGACCGGAAATTACACTCTCAGACTTAAATTTGAATAGGGCATATTTTTCTTGTTTTAATTTAAAAAAATTAGGGTGTTTAGTGGTAGGGGGGGGCATTGAATCCACCACTGCTCAAAACATTATTTACCCAAACAGTGGCGGCTAGAATATAATTTATGAGGAGGGCTAAGATGTCCGACTGGGGGAGGGGGGCTAAGTATTTATGGGTGTAACAAGAATGCGCCGTTATCCGAGGGCCGAAGGTCGGATCCGCGCCCAAAATAGTCATAATCACTAAAAAAAAACAAAAAAAAAAAAACAGATCACATCCTAAAAACAAATTTATGCGTTTTCGCCTCATCAGCAGTCACTAAGACATACTTTGAATCAGGTGTCGACTCGATGGGGTTTTATGTCATACCCAGGAAGAGCGCAATGTGTTTTAAAGGGTGAAGGTGGGGAGGGGGGACATCTCGCACCTCAGACCCACTATGGTTGGGGCTGAGGTGCGAAAATTTGAGGAAATATGAATTTAGTAAAACTCTTCATCATCACATCACCATTATATATACTCAAAATGAAGCGCTAACAAATTGCTCATGATCTTTTATCATGAATTTTCGGCAACCATAGAGATCTTATTAATATGTGTGATGTACCATAGTAAAATTCATCATCATCACATCATCATTATATAGTCAAAATGAAGCGCCAACAAATTTCTCACGATATTTTATCAGGGATCTACTTAATATCCAAGACAACTTTGGCCTAACTGTAGCTTACTTTGCTTTAACTATACTATAATAATTGTGATCAACAAATCACAACTTACTTTTCCGCCTTTAGCACAATTTACTCCACTTCTTCTAAATTTAGTATTTTCATTTGCATTACTGAATTTATAATACAGTTCATAATTTCCAGTTTGTACTAAATCTTTGTGTAAGCTATAATGCATTCGTCAATGCGAATGTTATTTAGAGCCGGACAACTAAAAATGAAATTAATGATGAATATCCTCATCAGAATTAAGAGTGCATAATTTGTACATTTCTTGTTATTATCCAGATTCAATTTTGAAGTTCTATTGTTTAATGGTAAGGTAATCTGAGTTTGAATTTTAATGCAATTCCTTCAAAATCTAATCAATTTTGTCAATGAGGTAATTTTCGAATTTAGGTTTAAATTTCAATGTCGCATACTCTCAAAGAAATGATTTGTTTTGGAGATCCGTTCTCCATGCATCTATCCTAATTATATCAAGTTTTCTCAAGTTTTCGGAACATGGATAATAAAAACATATATTGTTCAACAGAGCTGTGAAGATATCATTTGATTTACATTCACATTTCATATGAAAATCATTTAGGCAAGACAGAAATTTGTACTTTTAATTCACCATCGAGTTGTAACATTCCAAGTAATAAAAGTTTAGGCCATCGGTATGATTCCATAGTAATCAATCTATTAAAATATTTTACATGAGAAATTTGATGAAGACCATTAATGGGGGACCATCCAAGTTCACCATATAGTGCTGCACAAGGTGTGTTCCTTGATGCTTTAAGTATAAAACGTGCCATTTGCAATTGCAGGCGTTCTAATTTATTTATGTCTATTCTGCTTAGTGAGCACCAAACTGCACAGCCATAATTCACAGATGGTAGTCCAATGGTTCTCCACAGAATATCACCATGGTGACTCTATTAAAATTATCGAAGTTGCTAATGATTGACCTAGCTCACTCGTACTAGTAGTAGGCCCCTTATGATTGGGTGGGAGGGGGGTTACTATGGAGTTTAGTTATTTAAGGTTGATCCCAACTAGGCCTAATAAAATGATAATTTAACTTCTTCATGTATATTGAATGGTATGTTATTTTAAAATTCAGTGTTAATATAATTATTTATTTCTTTGTTTTAAATAATAGAAATATTGGTATGCTGATTTGTGTTTCAGATGCTCACCGTGTGGTAACTATACAAATGCCTTTAGAAACCAGGCCAACCACTGTCTGATGATAACCTTTGATGAAAGAAAACATGGAACGATCGTCGAGGCAAATACAGTTCGGAATAGAGCAAAAGTTTGTTTCAAATGTAGATTTAATGATAAAAAAAAAGAATTAAAAAGAACGTAACAGCATATCAAAACGAAATTAAACATTGTATAAATATTGTCTTGTTTGTTCATTTTAAAGTTTTGTTTAGTTAAAAATTAGTAAAAGGAATAAACAGCCTCTAATATATTGAGTATAAAAATAATGTCTCAGAGTATACTTGTTCTTTGTGAATCATCGAGTTGAAAATAAAAATAGTTGATGTAGGCTACAGCAGCGAATCAAAATAAAATTAGTATTGTCTATAGAGAATTTTGCTGATCGAAGACGCTCGTGCATACCTAAACAGACGTGGAAATGCAGGGGCCTTGGCCTAGTTCAGGGGCGGATCCAGAAATGTCCAAAAGGGGGGGCCGGAAGCGGGGGCCGAAAGTTGGGCCGATTGAGACAACACTGTCGTAGGGGGTCTGGGGCATGCCCCCGCGAAATTTTTGTGTTCTAGACGCCCGAACATAACATTTGAGGCATTCTGGGCTATCATTTTTTTCTTTTTCTCTCTTTTTTTTCTTTTTCCCCTTTTTTTTTTACCTCCCAAAGGGGGGGCGGGGCCGGGGCCGGGCCGGCCCCCCCCCCTAAATCCGCCCCTGTAGTTTCTCGAA